GAAGACGTTACGTCAATAGATTCAGTAGTCCAAAAATTTTGGGCTCTTGAAGAATTACCTTCAGATTCAAATGGCATTCAATTCACACAAGAGCAACAAGAGTGTGAAAACTTTTTCGTAAATGCCACTCAAGTATTGCCTTCAGGACGGCTTCAAGTAAGAATGCCTTTTAAAGCTGACCGTAAGTTACTCGGTCACTTCTATGAAACCGCAGTTAGGCGGTTTCAGGCCCTGGAGAGAAAGACATTAAAAGATCCAGAACTTCGTAAAATGCATCTGGATTTTGTGAATGAATATAGAGCATTGGGTCACATGAGCCCAACGAACAATAAGATCCCGAGTGAGCCACACTACTTAATTCCGCATCCCTGCGTTTTAAGGAATGAATTTTTGAGGGTAGGTCGAACCATCTAAGGAGTGTTATACTCAACTCTTCTTCGTTTTCGCTTACATAAGTATGCACTAACAGCGGACATTACTAAAATGTACCGCCAAATAATTATGCATGAGGAAGACAGAAATTGTCAACTTATTGTGTGGAGAGAGCATCCTTCTGAGCAAATTCAAATTTTTCGTCTTAACACCGTAACATACGGTACTGCGCCTGCTCCATTTCTCRSAACACGGTGTTTGCAAATGCTCAGTGATGCTAATACAATGAAATATCCACTCGGTTYATTGGCCATCAAAAGAGACTTTTATGTTGATGATTTATTAACAGGGTCCGAAAATTTTGAGTCTCTAGATCTTTTGAGAAGTGAGGTAATTAAAATATTAAACTCGGCCGGATTCACCTTAACGAAATGGTTTTCGAAGCACCCTAAATTTTTCGACAGTAATTGCACTGAAAAGTCTTTAAGCTTCAATGACAAAAATTCTACTAAAACGTTGCCGAAAGAGGATTTGTTTCGCTTTGTTTTAGACGACAATTTTAATGATCTGCGAGCCACTAAAAGAAACACATTGTCAGTTTCTGCTCGCCTTTTTGATCCTYTTGGATTACTAGCCCCACTAGTTACCAAAGCAAAAATCTTATTGCAAGAGCTTTGGATCCAAAAACTAGATTGGGATGAGTCGTTACGTAAATGTTGAGTCGAGTGCCATCTGCCAAATACATGGCTTCTCCGACGCCTCAATAAGGTCGTACGGTTGCTGCTTATACATACGAAGCCAATCTGCTAGTGGTATTAAATGTATGCTGCTTACTGCAAAGTCTAGMGTGGCTCCGCTGAAGACCAAATCTCTTCCGCGTCTTGAGCTCTCGGCAGCACATCTTCTTTCAAAATTATGGCCAAGAGTAGCGCCTATGTTGAGTCGACATTTCGAAAATATTACATTTTGGACAGACTCAGAAACCATTTTGMATTGGATTAAAACACATCCATCCTCACTACAAACCTTCGTCGCAAACAGAGTGTTCGAAATCCAAGAGTTGACTGACAAAGTACATTGGCGACATGTGCCAACGAAACAAAATCCTGCGGATCAAGTGTCTCGGGGTTGTAACGTGGACGAATTAAATAATTCAATATGGTTTGGCGGTCTACAGTTCCTCCTGGAAGACCCTGAATTATGGCCAATTAATAACCACTTCCAGCTCTCACCAGAAGACGAAGCATTAGAGAAGAAGAAAAATACATTTACATTAATTTCGACTGCTGAGAAAAATTCAATATTGGACCTTATTGAAAAATTCTCTTCTCATAAAAAATTGCTTCGTGTGGTCGCATACATATTACGATGGATCAGACGACCACCAAAATCCTCCATGGGACAGGGTCTGACTTCAGAAGACCTAAACTTGAGTTTTCTAAAAATTGCACAGGTTGTCAAACATTCAGAATTTTCGGACGTTATTCAAAAATTGCATAAAGGTACCACCCTACCCGCAAACTTGCAAAAACTCAACCCGGTTTTGCTTGAGTACTCGGATACATCGCTGTCATTCAAATTAATCCGAGTAGGAGGTCGCCTATTAAATGCACCTCTACCATACGATGCCAAATTTCCGCTTTTAYTAAATAAAAGTTCGCACTTCKTTATAACATATTTACGGTTCCTGCATATTCGAAATCACCACGCTGGGGCTAAAGCGTTGGTTGCGCTTCTTCGAGAACGCATATGGCTAATTAATGCCCGAGAAGCYTGCAGTAGAACCGTAAGAAACTGTATATATTGTTTTCATTACAAGTCGAAGTTGCAAAACCAAATAATGGGAAATTTTCCAGTCGAAAGACTTCGAGCACTACGGCCCTTTTTTATATGTGGCGTAGATTTTTGTGGACCGATATACACAACTCTAAAAATGCGCGGTCGACCACCCGTAAAAACATATATTGCAGTTTTCGTTTGCTTTACTTCCAAAGCAGTACATTTAGAATTAGTTTCAGACCTATCATCTAATTCATTTATTCTCGCCCTAAAAAGGTTCATTGGACGCCGGGGAATGCCGACGAAGATATTCAGCGACAACGCCACCAGTTGCGTCGGCGCCGATCGCAAGCTGCGCGAATTGAAGGAGGCGTTTCTAGCAATGGGTCCAGAACTGAAGAGGTTCGCAGCAGACGAAGGGTGCAGCTTCATCTTTATAACACCGCGGGCGCCGCACTACGGCGGATTATGGGAAGCCGCGGTGAAGTCCGCCAAGCACCAYATCATTCGCGTAACCGGCAACGCGCTACTTACAGCAGAGGAGTTAGCAACAGTGTTGGCCGAACTGGAGGCCAGCCTCAACTCTCGCCCCCTAGTAGCTCTGAGCCAAGATCCCAACGACGGCGAGGCGTTAACACCAGCGCATCTACTAATAGGATGCTCCCTGTCCTCTTGGGGCATTACCCCTAGAGAAGGTGCCAGTGGACCCAGTTCGTTGGGTCAAGCAACAGTTCTGGCGACAGTGGTCCAAAGTATACCTAACGGGCCTTTAGGAGCGCAACAAGTGGCTGCACCCCAAACGCAATATGCAGCTCAACGACCTCGTTCTCGTCCACGAGGACAATGTCCCGCCGCAGCAGTGGGTACTAGCGCGCGTCGTCGCAACTTTCGAAGGGCAAGGCGGCATCCCATCCACAAAATGGCCGTGCTTCCACGGGAAATTGAAGGAATCTAATCCTGTCAAGTCGGCCGGTGTTGCGTCAAGCGACAAGATACATATATTTAAACCTAAAACTAGAATTAAGAAAATTGAATTATAAGAATTGTGAAACATTGAATTATCAAATTAAGAAAATCTATTATAAAATACCTACCTTAATAATGCATTCATAATACCAATGTATTACTTACCTTTATACTTACCACAATCTGTTACAATATTTAAGTTGAAATTATTATACTTACCCCTTTTTTAACACATATTTATATTACCACTAGTTTAAGCCGTTAGTTTAAGATTCTTATAATTGAACTGTGGAACCGTACGCACGCGTTTTCATTTTTATCATAACACCGTGACAGGCAATTAGATTTCTTATTATATTCGCGCATTCCCTAAGTTATATTTTCGCTTCTCAAAAACGCTTGAGAATTTTTCAAAGCGCATCCAGAACTCGGCTCCGTATAATAGGACGCTGATTGTCGTCGACATTAGACGACAGAATGGATCCTAGAATGGATCCTTGTGCTGCCTCTGACGTGACTTCTATCTGTTGTGATCCCTCTTTAGTTTCGCACAGCACTTTCCTGTTGCTGAGGTAGCTCCGCACAACAGCCCTATGGTGGTCGGGTATCTTGAAGCTTTTCTCGAGGACGTCGATCATATCTAGCGCTGTTGAAGGCGTTTCGGACATCTAGAGTCGCCAGCAACACTATTCTTTTGTATTATGCGCGGCTTCTACGCTTTCTATGACGGATTTTATAGCTCCCATGGTTGATCTGCCGGGTCTAAAGCCGTGTTATCCTCCAGCTTCGTCGATAGCCGCTTCGAGTTTGGGTTTAAGAAGGCTTTCGTACAGCTTTCATGCTTGACACAGCATAATGGACGGTATGCTGGTGGCGAATTGGGGTCTCTTTTTCCCTTGCTGATTGGCACAATATGTTACTTTTTCCAGGGTTCAGGGAATATTCCGGCTTCAAGGCATGCGTTGTACATATTCAGTAATACTCCTGAGCGCTCTGCAGTGATTATCTGTTCCCTCGTCGCTTTGTTGAGTCCCTCTCTTGGGTAGATTCTCCCCCGGTGCAACCCCGGTGGGGGTTGTGGACGCTTACTTTAAGGCGTGAGGTGTTTTGAGCCGAGCCCTCCTTTCCTGCGGCTCTTGGTCGGGGGCTGCGTATTACTATTCGCAGCTAACCTACTTAGCGTAGGCCGTCCACTATCCGCCAGTTGTGCCCCCGAAAGTAGCCTGAGCTCAGCCTATTCGTTACTCGATGAAACTATGAATGGATTGTAATAATTTTTGCCATTTTATTAATTTATGTTACGGGTCATATGTTTCGATATATAAATGTTTTTGGTAAATGAAAGATGTTTATAAAGATATTTGACATATTGGCGGTGTTTTCAGTAGAAAGTCAGGCGAGCAGACGTTCCATTGCCCGACCAGGAAGAAGTTCGAATAGCAATCACCCGCCTGGAGAACAACACAGCGGCGGGGGCCGATGGATTGCCGGCCGAGCTATTCAAACACGGTGGCGAAGAACTGATAAGGAGCATGCATCAGCTTCTTTGTAAAATATGGTCGGATATGGCACAATCTGTGCCAACTACCGTGGGATAAGCCTCCTCAACATTGCATATAAGGTTCTATCGAGCGTATTGTGTGAAAGATTAAAGCCCACCGTCAACAAACTGATTGGACCATATCAGTGTGGCTTCAAACCTGTAAATTCAACAACCGACCAGCTATTCACCATGCGCCAAATCTTGGAAAAGACCCGTGAAAGGGGAAGCGACACTCACCACCTCTTCGTCGATTTCAGAGCTGCTTTCGACAACACGAAAAGGAGCTGCCTTTATGCCGCGATGTCTGAGTTTGGTATCCCCGCAAAACTAATACGGCTATGTACACTGACGTTGAGCAACACCAAAAGCTCCGTCAGAATCGGGAAGAACCTCTCCGAGCCGTTCGATACCAAACGATGTTTCAGACAAGGCGGCTCCCTATCGTGCATATTCTTCAACCTGCTTCTGGAGAAAATAATTAGAGCTGCAGAACTAAATAGAGAAGATTCAATCTTCTGTAAGAGTGTACAGCCTCTGGCGCATGTCGATGATATTGATATCATCGGCCTCAATAMCCGCGCCGTTAGTTCTGCTTTCTCCAGACTGGACAAGAAAGCAAAGCAAATGGGTCTGGCAGTGAGCGAGGGCCAGACGAAATATCTCGTGTCAAACTCAATAAGCCACTCATAATACCCGTCCTGCTATATGGTGCATAGGCTTGGACTGTGACAACAACTGATGAGTCGACATTTCGAGTCATCGAGAGAAAATTTCTGAGTAAGATTTATGGTCCTTTGCGTGTTGGCCACGGCGAATATCGCATTCAATAGAACGATGAGATATACGAGATATATGACGACATTGACATAGTTCAGCGAAATAAAGGACAGCGGCTACGCTAGCTAGGTCATGTTGTCCGAATGGGCGAAAACACTCCAGCTCTCAAAGTATTCGACGCTGTACCCGCTGGGGGAAGCAAAGGAAGACCTTCACTCGGTTGGAAGGACCAGGTGGGGAAGACCTGGCTACGCGTGGAATATCCAATTGGCGCCAGGTAGCGAAAAGAAGAAACGACTGGCGCGCTGTTGTTAACTCGGCTATAATCGCGTAAGCGGTTCCTACGCCAATTAAGAAGAAGAAGTACGAAAGTACCAGTGGTATGTAGAAAGAAAAAACAAATAAACACCAATATTTGCATTTTTTAGTAAACTTTAGATGATTTTGTAAAATGGGACGGCCGGAAATCATGTCGTAAGATTTTAAACATTTCTCTTTGAAAGTTTCAAAAAATCTTTGTATTATATGGAAAACTAAAAAGTTTTAACAAAAAACTTAATTTTTCATACGAAAAAATTATGGAAGCCTGCCGTTTTTCGTTCGGTGAAACCCTGTAAAAAACTCAGATACTGACCGATATTTCAAGTAAAAGTACATTTAAGTCTCACTAAAGTACCCGGGATCTTGAAAAGTTATCAGTCGATTACGTTTTTTTTACTACACATAGTTTAGTTTCATTTCGATATCCGTCACGGTCTCTTCGTTTTTCCTCGTTTTCAAGAAACTCTTCAACTTAGAAATTGAATTTGAACCTTAAACATTTTTTTTAATGTTTACACTTTAGTATACAACATATACAGCTTCAATAAAGGAATTTTTATTTTCAGATCTAAAATATACAGTCTGCAGTTTCAGTCCAATGAAAAACAACAACATCTTTTAATTGAAAGTCCACATATAGGTGATTGGTACGCAGTTGCGTTTATTACTTGGACGGATCCAAGCAAAGATCGTATTGAACAGCAAGGTAAGCGAATTTTGTACTTTTATATATATTCTTTTTATTGCGAATAGTTTACATTCTAAAGATTTTGCATATTTTTACATTCTGGCACTATGTTCCAACAAAGTACCACCTAAAACTAATCGAATTAGATACGAAATTATGTATGTATCTTTAAATCAGTGGTCGGAGAGAAMACAGGCTGCATACCTCGCAACGTTACGATCGACCACAACACGTGCGGTGATGGGATATGTACCGAGAGTTGCAGAGGGAAGCGAGACGCATTTGCAGACAGAAAAAGAAAGAGGCCGAAATGCGTGAGTACGATAAGCTGGCCGATAGGGGTAATGCTCGAAAACTCTACGAAAATATGTGGCGGCTTACAGAAGGTTTCAAGACCGGAGCATACTCTTGTAGAACCCCCAAAGGTGATCTAGTCACCGCTGCCCATAGCATACTTAAATTATGGAGGGAACACTTCTCCAGCCTGCTGAATGGCAGTGAACGCACAACGCCAGGAGAAGGCGAACCCGTTGCCCCAATAGACGACGATGGAGCAGACGTCCCATTGCCCGACCAGGAAGAAGTTCCAATGGAAATTACCCGCCTGAAGAACAACAAAGCGGCGGGGGCCGATGGACTGCCGGCCGAGCTATTCAAACACGGCGGCGAAGAACTGATAAGGAGCATGCCTCAGCTTCCTTGTAAAATATGGTCGGACGAAAGCATGCCTAACGATTGGAATTTAAGTGTGCTATGCCCAATCCTCAAAAATGGAGACCCCACCATCTGCGCCAACTACCGTGGGATAAGCCTAGTCAATACTGCATATAAGGTTCTATCGAGCGTATTGCGTGAAAGATTAAAGCCCACCGTCGACAAACTGATTGGACTTTATCAGTGTGGCTTCAGACCTGGAAAATCAACAACCGACCAGATATTCACCATGCGCCAAATCTTGGAAAAGACCCGTGAAAGGAGAATC